TGAGGAGCTGATACCAAGGGTTCAAATAGAAAGAAAATGTTTTGAGAATGATGATGGCAACAAATGTACAAATGTGTCTGGCAAAATGGATGTATGGATGGATTGTGATAAGAGTTGTACAAGCCCCCAATAAAATGATTTTTAAAAATTCATACAGGTATATAATGGTATTCTAGTCTCCTAATCATAATGTCAGCAGTTCGACACCACCAGTTGCTCTTGCGAGAAAGATAAGGCTTTCCACTCCCATACATAATTATTCCCTTGGAAACCTACAGGACGTCTCAAACCCTGTCCTAGACGGTCGCTGAGTCGGCATCTATTCGGTGACAGTGAGGAGTTCCCCTGGCTTCTCCACTCCAATGGAAATAGCAGCGGGTTCTTTAGTGGGGTAAAAGTATGCCAGTAAGTGACTTAATTTCTCTTTGTTTAAAGTTTGTCAGAGTACAGGAGACTGGGCTTCTGGGCCATTAGATGAAAAACTCACTCCAGAGAGTTCATGAAACAACACTGGCATTATTATGTCTCTGATCCTCATTTTATTAATTTCTCCAAAAGCACTCCACAAGTGTCTAACATGAGCCTAGAATCGTGTTAAACAACACAGAAGCAGTAAATGTATAGACTGGACATGGCCCTTGACCATTGAGACTAATCACACAACTAGAAAGTTATTGGTGTGGGGGACTCAGGCGCCCACTCTTGTAAATGTGGCTTCCCTAGGTGCCCACCCCCTCAACTCCACAGCCTTCTTCCTCAGCAGAGCTGCAGCACCCAGAGCCCAGCTGCCACCCCTGCCCCCTTCCACTTTCTCGTGGACAATCATCACTCCAATCTATCGCCAAGGCCATCTCTTTTTATGCAATTCACTGAAATCAAAAGAAAGTCCTAGTTCATTAGCTGGGACGTGAAAATAACTTTATGAAGAAAATGTCTTTAAATGGTTATCTGTTATGACAAAATACCCATTTATAAACTATCAAGGGCTCATGCGGGAGGGGGGAGCGGGGAGGGAGGGGAAAAATGAGGACCTAATGTCGGGGGTTTAAAATGGAGAGAAAATGTTTTGAGAAACGATGTACAAATGCGCTTTACACAATTGATGTGTGTATGGATTGGGATAACAGTTGTGTGAGCCCCTAATAAAATGTTAAAAAAAAAATGGTTATCTGTTTTGAAGAAAATACTGTAGAATGAAACCACTTGTAAGGAAAAAGAAAATCATTGTGTGCAAATTTTCCTTCACTGTGCACCTGGCAAGTGTCTCCCCATTGTCTCTTCTCTATGATCCTAGCAGAGATAAGAAGCCACGGAAGCATGTGCCTGAGACCCTGGCTGACTCTACAGCCCATGATAGTCCATCGGCCCCACGGTGCTGAGAGCACACACTCCCAGAAAGACCATGAATGAATGAGGCCAGAGGGGAGCTTCTTCTCCGGTCTCACTCAGTCTCACTCGCCACGTGACTCCAGGATGCTGACCAGATGCTGTACTCCAGGTACAAAAGCCCACATCCGGTTTACAAAAAAAACAAAACAAAAAGGGTGATTTTCTCAACTGAAAATTAAATGCCACAGTAAAAGTAATATTCACTGAAAGAAAACCTAGGAGAATTCTGGGAAGATAGTGGCAAGAGCAAGTCTGTGCTCCTAACCGCCTCCCAAAAAACAACTAGAAGTCTAATGGGCCCTGGGAGAGCTCTGGAAAGCGGAAAACGACAACAAAAAGGCGCTATAATCTGAAACAGATAAGAATGAATCTCAAGGAACAGGTCAAACCCTTCCTCTGCTGCCCCACCCTCCTTTCTGGGCATGCCTCTGGCCAGTGCACAGCTCTCCGGTGGAGTGAGAAGAGTCTTGCTTTCTGCTTCCAAAGTCAACCGCATCGATGCTGGTAGTGGAGTGTTCTGACTGCCCCAGCCTTGCCTGCTCGACAGATGGAAGGAACCCTCGTCTGGCCGGAACCACACCCTTCACAGAACAAGAAGGGAAGAAGTAGAGTGAGCAAGAGTAAGTCTGCCTGCCCGAGAGTTTCCTACAAAGCCAGTGCAATTGAAATCGATGTGTCTGTGAGGGAACTGAGAGAGCTAGTACATTACAAAGTCCTAGTGTCTCCGCTTCAACAACAACAAATCACCAGGCACACGCACAGCGTGTGCTCTCTGTCTCTCTCACACACACAGCTGCAACTGATGGCTCTGTCAAGAGAAGGAGATGGAGGGAGAGAAACGGTCTCTATGGAAATCAGGATACGGAGCAGAGGGAAAGAATATAACACAGCAATATTAAGCACGAGGAAATAATGGAAAACGGAAATAGATCATTCAGGGAAAACAATGCATGAGCAATAAAAGAATTATCAATAGACATTACTATACCAGGCTCATTGCTAATGAGTCCATTTCAACTCATAGCGACCCAATTAACAGGCATAAACGCTGTAAGAAACCAAAGAGAAATACTGAAAGATAAAATAAGTATAATTTCCAAAACCCTGTTGGAAGGAGTTAACAGTATATTTGAACTGGCAGAAGAAAGATTGAGTAATCTAAAAGGTACTAGAATCAAAATATAGGTCTGAGGAGCAACAAGAGAATAAGTTTAAGAACAGATACCCCCACCCCCACCCCCGAAAACCCAACCCAATCTAACCAACCCATTGCCTGGAGCCAACCCCGACTCATAGTGACCACAGGACAGGATAGAACTGTCCCTTTGGGTTTCTGCCCCTGCAAATCTTTCTGGGAGCATAACGTCTCATCTTTCTCTTGTGCAGTGGCTGGTGGGTTTACCTGCAGACCTTGCGTTGAGCAGTGCAATGTATAACCTACATCGACCGCATCCTCACTGCCATCGAGTCAATGCTGACTCGAGCCACCCAACAGGACAGGGTAAAACTGGCCCCCATGTTTCTGAGTTTACAGGAGCTGAGAGGCCTGAACTGTTGGTGGCTTTGAACTGCCGACCTTGCAGATTGCAGCCCAACTCATAATCAGTACACTGGCAGGGCTCCTCAAGACAGCATAGCCTAGTGGAAATTTGAGACGCCAACAAATGAACTACTATATGCATTGTGTGAATCCCAGAAAGGGAAGAATAAGATACACAAAGAAACACGGTTTGAAGCAATAATGGCTATGATTTTTCCAAATCCAACAAAGGGCACAGGTCTACAAATCCAAGGAGCTCATTGAATCCCAAGTAGGGAAAAGCCAGAGATTCCCGAGAAACACGTTTTTATCCAGGCCACGAAAGCTGAGAGCGTCAGCAGCAGCATGGAAGTGAGCCTTCATATACAAAGGATTCCCAGTTAAGATTCAATGCTGATTTCTCCTCAGAAACTGAGGCCAGAAGCCAAGGAATGCACATTTCAAGTGCTTGAAAGAAAATAACTGTTACCCAGGAATACTACATTTGGCAAAACTGTCCTTACAGAACAAGTGTAAAATTTAGACATTTCAAGATAAGCGAAAGTTGAGAGAGATGTGCCCTATTGAAAAATGGATAGAGAGTCCTTCCTTTGGAAAAGAAAGGACACCAGACCGCCCCTTGAAGCCATCTATAGGAAACAACAACAAACTTTACTACAATCATTTGTATGAGTAAGTGTAAGGGTGAGTTTTAAAGTACTTTTACATGCTTTAGAGTGGAAGATGCATAAAAAGCAAGTGTACATGGATATTATAGGGCATGTGACGTGAAAGGATTTCAGGGGTAATGGCAACAAAAGGAGGGTCTGAGCATGATTGGAATGAAGTTTTTGCACATTACTAAAGTTAAGTTAGTTACCAAATTAAATCAGATTGTTATGAATGCAAGAGATTAAATGTAATCGCTAGGGTAACTACAAACACCAAAAATCTAAAAAACTGAAAAGGAGAGGGAGTCAAAACCAACTAAAAGCAGCAACCAGAGAGCCCGCAAATGTTGGCAGCAGTAATACGAAACAAGTACAAAGGACATCAGGTCACAAGTAGGAAGTAAGGTACAAAGTATAGAACAAACACAGACAAAGCCCCACAAACAAGAACAAAACCAAGTAACTCTTTCAATACTAGTATTTACTCAGAATGTAAATTCATTAAATGCTGTAATCCAAAGGCAGAGTACAGAATGACTGATTAAAAACAAACACACAAAACCAACACTATTAGGCAGGATGTGGCGAGATTGGCATCCCCATTCACTGACAAGGGTCTGTTAAAACAAATGGTTAAGCCAACTGCCATGACATAAAATCCAATCCTAGATACACAGTTGAAAGGACGCCCACAGAAATACACACAGAAACGTGTATGAAGGTTCACTGAAGCACACCGAAGGGAAGCATCACAATAGCAAAAAGGGGAAAACTGAAGGGTCCATCAACAGATCAAGAAATAAAATGTACAAGCGGGAAATGGAATAGACAATGCAATTCACCAGGTCAGCATTTTGAAACCACCAGCCAGAGAGGAAGCTTGCTCCTCCTGTAAACAGTTTAGTCTTAGAAACTCACAGGGGTAATTCTACCCCCACAGTTGACTCCCGGTGAGTCCCAAACACACTACAGGGGCACAGTGGAGAAGAATCTTTAACAATTTAATACTACATCCAAAAAAACTGAACCCCAAAAGAACACATACAGCACAATGTCCTTTTCATCTAGGCAAAAGCAACTTTAGCACGTGCTTCCCCTCACCCCATGTTAGTAACACGCACATACATTTTAGGAAAATGTACCAATATCGTGTTCAAAAGCAGAGAAGAAGGTACATGGGAGGAGATTCACGGTGGAGACTTTGGGTAGGGGGTCAAGACGGGGCAGATGAAGACCACCTACACCACCTGGCCCTCACCCAGGTCCTAGCTTGGTTTGCATGGTGGTGGCACAGGGGCTTAGTGTATTCATTTCTTAATAAATGTCTAAAATAAGTAACCGTTCAGGGATCATTATGAACCAAGGCTTATGATTCTACTAATTAAAAATAAGCAAACAGAAACACGGTATTTGCAGCCTACCTTCATAGAGCTGTGCATATTGAGGGAACCCTGTTGCCCGCAGCCAATCACATGCTTCCTTGGCTTCAATTTCTAGAATCAAACAGAAAAGAGACAAAATCGTTAGCCATGGGTATCGCAGAAAGCTCTTTCTTCACTAAACTTGTTACAAAAACAAAATGTCATTTCTGTAGAAGATACAGATTTAAAAAACAAAACACTAACTTTCAGCCACAAATGAAGACGGAGCCATTAAAGCCGCCACCACAACAGAAACTGGGGTCCTAGCGGTGAAATATTTCTTAAGACTCTGTGCTCTGGTTACAGCTGATTTAGGGTGATCTATAACGAGCGCCCCACCCCCCCAACACACACATGCACACACACACACACAGTGAAGGGGAGATGTGCCTTTCAGGGGGGTACAGATGATTAAGACAGTAGTAGCGGGGCCCAGGCTGTCCAGGAAGAGGTCATCAGTCCATCAATTCCCCAGTCTTGGCAGGCTGAACGGCGGCGTAATAAAGCTTCTACTACCCTGCGGTTTACCATCTTGTAAACAGTATTGATAAACAGAAGGGCCAAGAGCAGCTGACACGTGGTGTACCAACTCACTCAAGCACAGATTTAGAGTCCTGTTGAAACGGACTCACAGAGGAGGTCTCGAGCACACTAATTCGTGTTTCGTTGCTGGCGCAAAGAATAATCTTTTCACCTTTTTCCCATCTCCCTTCCTCGGGCCATGAGGACTGACTGGGTTATGTAAGGCTGCTTCCCTAATTCACACATGTCTCAGCATTACTTAATTTACTCCAGATTCAAATCTTCATTAAACATCTCGGAGCCACAGGTGAAGCCCCACTCAATACTGGGAGAAGCAGTCATCTTACTTTGCTCTAGCAAATGTATGGTCGAAACATTTCCACATGGTTACTTCATCATGAGTGACTTGGCCTTGAGAGAAAGGTAATTAAGACCACTCAAACTGATTAAAGCAAGTAGGAATGCTAAAGTACTGAGCATAGAGAAAAACAGCCTGTCTTCTAATGAGTTTATTAATATCCAAACAAAAACAATTAAAGTAGAAGTAAATGGCCTGCATAAGTCTTTTTAGGGCAGCGATGAAAAGAGCATTATTAAACACAGGATTTCTGATGGAATTGGGGGTGGAAAATGAAGAGACAAGGTGGAAGACCTTCAATATAGTTTAAAAGAAAAAATACTTTGAGAATGATGAGGGCAGTGAATGTACAAATGCGCTTTACATAATTGATGTGTGTATGGATTGTGATAAGAGTTGTATGAGCCCCTAATAAAATGATTTAAAAAAAAAGAAAAAATACATGGAACTGACTGACATACGTGAGTTGTCTGAGCTTACATTTTCCTGTGCTTATATCGATAGCTTACCTCATAAAGAAATTAAGGAAGCTGTAAATAAAATGATACAATAGACTTTTTTTCTAGTAAACCCTATGCTGGAAAAACATAAAAGCTCGATATTATACATCAAGGAATGTGGACATGATTTTTCTTTATCCTCTTCCCACCAAAAAGAACTATGGAAACAAGAATGACTAAATGTCTATTTTTTTAAATGCATGAAATAATTTCTGAATAAAAGAGATGAGTTGTTTTCCTTGGAGAGTTCACTATTGAAAAGCAAAATGTAAACGTGCTTGTCTTTTAAAACGTTTACCTAACCAGTGGCTCTTGTTACAGGCAGCATTTGAGTCAGTCCCTGACTCATGAGGACTCCATGTGTTATAGAGAAGAACTGCTCCACAGGGTTTCTTGGCTAGCAGAGTGCTGGGGCAGTGGTTACCTGCTGGGCTGCTAACCTCAAGCTCCACAGTTTGAAACCATCAGCTACCCTCCAAGAATGATGAGGCTTTCTACTCCCATAAAGATCCACAGCCTCAGAAACCCACACTGGCCATTCCACCCTGTCCTATAGCATCATTGCAAGTTGGAATCAACCCCATGACAGTGGGTTTAATATGATATAGCAGTTCCTAGTTCAGATGCTAACCTCAAGGTCAGCAGTTTGAATCCTCCAGCCACTCCACTGGGGAAAGAGGAGGCAGACTTTCTATTCCTGTAAACTCACCGCCCCCCACCACCCCCAAGTCTTTCCAGTTATCAGTAGACCACAATGCAACATGAGCACTACTTTTTGAAGGAACAAGCCTCTATCTAGCTCTAAGTTAAGACTCTTTCTAGTCTAGTCCCTGATTCATGCCAGGACTTTCTCTTATCTCCTAAGACTCCAGGTCTCCAGTCTTGCCTTTCTACAGAGACCCCCTGGGCGCATCAAAGTCCCAAAGCACAGCTTTGATCTTGTCTCTCCCTCACCAGCTTCACTGGAGCTTGGCTGCCTAGAGAAATCAAGTCTGAACACTTCTCTGTGGTTTTCAGGGATGTCTGCATGACTGCCAACCTCACTTTTCAGCTCCCTTTACTCCCCTATAACCCAGCCAAAGTAAACGTGGTGCTCATCTCCTCACATACCGTTGTGATGCCGTGACTGCCTTCTGCCCCACATCCCCTGGCCTGAAATGCCTTCCCACCCACCCAGGTCAATCGTCTCTCCCTTCACGGCCCAGCACAAGGTGCCTCCTCTCCGCAGCCCTCCCAGTGCTGCTCACAAGTCTATGAACGTCTGCAGAGTGCTTAGCGGAGGCAAGGACTGGCTAAGCATTGATTGGGTGTTACCTAATTTACTCTTCTTGTTCAGAAAATCCAGCTACCATTATCATCTCAACCTATGCTAATGAGGAAACCGGTGGAAAAGTAACCATCTCTGACAAAAAAACAACCCAAGATTTCTTGACATTCAAATCCCACAAGGGGAAGTTGAACTAAGACATACAGTAATTAGAGACCCCAAGATTCCCTTCAAACACTACGTACGATCGAACGAGCGCTTACAAGACTAAAGGCAACCCTGCACGTGCTACCTTCCTGCAGTCACTCTAACGCCTCCCCCATCCCTGCAAAGGAGCCCTGGTGGTACAGCGTGCCTCTAACTGCAGAGCCTACGGTTCCAGTCCACCGGCCCCCTTTTGTTAGAACAATGAGGCTGTCTGCTGCCAGCAAGATTTAAGGTCTCAGAAACCCGCAGGGGCAGTTCTGTCCTAGCCTATCAGGTCGCTGTAGAGTTGGAATCAACTCAGTGGCAGTGAGCTTGTTTGGGAGGTTAATCAGCTCAAAGGGATTTTTCCTTCAGCATGTGTGGGTGGTGGAGCGAGGACTTACCTATGCATACAATTTAAGAAGAAAAAAAACTCTTCAGACACAAATGCCCTTAGAAACTAAAAATACAATGAATGTACAATGAAACATTTATTCCTGGGTTTTGTCTAAGCAAACAACAGGCAAATGTGTTCAGGAGGAAACAGGAAATTTTTATTGGAAACAGCGTTAGTGTTCAGCCTCTTCACAAAGCAGTTGCACGCTGTGAAGTGAACAAGGTCCGGGGATCCTTGTCTGGCTGGGAACTATTGGGCCATATTCGCACATTTCCTGGCACCACGGGATGACCCGATCTTCCCCTCAGCTCTCAACGGTAAGCTAAACAGAAATTCCCAGTCTTTCTGGGCAACTCGGTGGTTCGGTGAACAATAGTAACCGAGTCTCTCCGCAAGGTATGGTCCCTGCCTCACATTGGCTCAGTCAGCACAGGGAGCCCCTCTGGGACTCCTTCCCTTCTTTTGACTATCTGCTGCGGAAAATCAAGAGTTCCAACCTCCATTCGAACCCAAGAAATCACCAGGCTTTCGGCGTACTCAAGCCCTTTCTCCAATCCTGGGGGTTCTCTGAAGTAAGACAGGCTTGCAAGCTGAAAGTACTGTAGATGCTTTTACAGCTAAGAAGCTGAATTAGTTGTGGGAAAGCAGACAGGGCTTCCTGATCTAAACTAAACTCACATAATCCAAACTCCAAACACAGCCCACAGTGTACGCAATCCGGCCTGTGCCTAAACGTTCGGGGGCTGGAACTTGAATTTCGAGCCAGGCTTACTGAGCTACTACAAAGTTGGCACGATGTATCAGGCTCTCTCACACATCAAGCCCTTCATCTGGGTTCTCACCTCCACTGCAAGTCCCGCCCCCTTCTTTCTTCCACCAACTTCTTACTGCTCATGGCCCCTACCTGGGTGGGGTGCACCTATTATGGGGCTCTTAGGAGAAATGATTATATCTTAATATACCTATGTCCTCCCAGAGACTTGTGCATACTCCAAACGAAACTCCCCGCTGTTAAGTCCACGCTGGCTCCCAATGACCCTGTCGGGCAGGTAGGCCTACCCCTGTGGTCTCTGAGCTATACTCTTTCCAGGAGTAGAAACCTACAGAGCAGCTGTTGGTTTTAAGCTTCTTGAAAGAAGAGCCCATTCATAATTTCTGTTCTTCAAAGGGAGGCTAAGATCTATGACTTGAATCCTTTCCCCTTTAAACATACACAGCGGCTGCTAATAGGTAATCAAGCATGGGCCATATATATAAGGTGACCGGAAGTCCCACTTCTGGCGGGACAGTCCCGATTTTTAACAATTTTTTCCCCCATGTCCCGCGGCGTTTTAAAAAGTCCAGATTTTTGCAAAGAATGCACGACAAGCTAGGGTATACGGTTTTCGGCTGCCATGTGGCTATTTCGCCAGGATATGAGTTTTATCAATGGTGTCCCGCTTTACCAATGTTGAAATCTGGTCACCTTACATACATAAAATGAATGAGTAGGGCTATATCAGACAACAAAATACATACACTGGTATTGATTAGATTCTAGTTACCTAAGTTCTGAACTCACGGCCATCAAGTTGATTATGACTAGAGCGGTCCCTGTGGGTTTGGGAGGCTGTACCTCTTTATGAGAGTAGACAGCCCTGGTGGCCTAGAGGTTACCGTCGGGCTATAGTGGTGGCAGGTATGCCACTGGTGTTTCAGATACCAGTCGGGTCGCCCATGGTGGACAGGTTTCAGCAGCAGCCTCATGATAAACCACCACCAAACTCCCAGTCACAGAGTCAAGTCTGACTCATAGCGACCCTCTAAGGCAGGGGAGAACTGCTCCTGTGCGCTTCCTGGACT